TGTCCCAGGGTATGGGGGCGACATTTCCAGTCCCAATTTTTCACGCGGAGTTTATGTGGGGCGGATATATTCAGGTCTCCCTGGCTTTGAGAGCTTGAGAGATAGACCGAAGACCCAGAGTATTGGGAGTCATCTCCCGTCATAGCTGTCAAGGGTGTCGGGGAAAGCGCCTGTCAGGTTTGCGGAGTTGACAGCGGGGTTGCGGGAATCACCACTGGCCATGGTTTGCGGGCGGTGGATAACGGTTTGAGGATGACTAGATATTTCAAAGACCCAGCCTCGTTTATCTCCTCCTCATGATGGCAGAAATAAAGAACGTTGATACATCGAGCAGGTCGAGACAAATATTTATGTCCACCAGCCGCTGTGTCCTTGTGCCAACTTGTCAGCTGGATGCTTCTTAGGCTGCTGTGCCAAGTTGGTGGCTATATAAACTTTCGTCCTGCTAATGAGATGAAGACCCAGGAGGAACAAATTAATTCAAGGCATATCAATTGGAATCACATTTCGCTGCAGGAAAAACGAAGGGTAATGAAGGATTGGTATATGTGTAAGGATTGTTGATTGTTCATGCACACGTCATTGACGGCGCCGAGCTTTTGGCCCGCCCGACAAGTTGTCACCGGCCTCAACCCCCCAACGTGAACGAACGCTCTCCACCGTCGCTTTCCCTTCCCCCAACAGCAATATATATCTGTTATACAGGATCATAACAGAGTAGCCACAGCCATGACTCTCAGACGCGGTCAAAGCAGGCGCAATAACGTGTCCAACAGCAATCCTCAACAACCTTCCCACCGATCTTCCCACAACCGCAATCCCTCAAACCTCGCCCAGCCCTCCGACTACGAATCAGATATTCAAAATAACTACATCTCAGACACCCAGATTGCTGCTAACGGCTCCACGTCTATGGCCACTGACTCTTCACAGTCGAAACCCCCAACGCGCACGAACGAAGAGCTGAACTTGGCCGTCCTCCGGCGCCATTATCCAGACATCCTCTCCATCCTCTCCCTCGCCCCGTATGCCGTAGTCTACAATTTCAGCGCTACAACGCAGCTGTGGGAGAAGAGCGGCATTGAAGGCACCATGTTCGTCTGCCAGCTGACCCAGGGCGAGCTGGGCGAGGAGCGCTATAGCGTGCTGGTCCTAAACCGGCGCGGCATGCAGAATTTCGAAGCCAAGCTTGCGGACGGCGATGATGTGGAAATTACGGATGAATATGTCATTTTGAAGGTCGCGTCGACGGGCGCGGAGCCTGGTGCCACTACGATCAAGGCGGCAGACGGCCGCCAGTCAGTTATTTATGGGCTGTGGATCTTCTCGGAGCCCCCACCCAGCTCTACGGCGGAGATTAGGGCTTTGAATGCGCAGATTATTAAGGAGTGTGCCGTACATGGTGGGGAGAGTAAGAGATTTGCACTGGAGAGGGTTGCCGCGGAGCGGAATCAGGGTGACGCCCAGGGTCATGGAGACCAGGGGTTGTATCAGGGTGGTGTACCCATGGGCCGACAGATTTCGTTGAAAGAGTTGTTTGGGCAGCAGAGGAAACAAGATGATGAATGGAGTGTCAAGGTCCATAGTCCCCGCTTACGAACAGTCGATTCAGAGTCACAGTTAGCACAGCAGCAGCAGCTCCACCAACAACATCAGCAACAGCAGCAACAGCAGCCCCAGGGAGGCCAGGATTGGCCGACTCCGCCGGCTGCTCCGCCGCAACCGCCAACAACTACAGGGAATGATGTACTTGGTGCGCTTTTCAGAAAGGCGTATCAATCTCCTGCACAGTGATTTGGAGGCTGTTTCAATATACATTCTACAATTGTCTTGGTGCCTTGATTGGGAGGAAAGGCATTAGGTAATGGCATGAGATATAGACAGGCGCCCTTCGGCTTACGTCTCCGTCATCCACAAACGCCATCTCTTTGTCGGAATGGGAGCTAATAAGAGTATGGTTCTATGAATGTGCACTGTCTATCTATCTGCCTAAGTGTCTATGATGAGCATTTGGCAGGTTCTGTTGTTGTTGGATAATATCCCTTACCCATCCGGCGGTCTTCTTTGCCATGATGTCACTATGTTCTATGTATGAGGAATGGGAAAGGAGTTAGCCATATACCACAATGATTATTGGTCATCCCCCGAGCGCATAAAGTTCTTACAAGAAACAGGAGGATGAGAAATTACGAAAGGATGAAGAAAAGAATCAAACACTTACGGATACAGAATCCATGCACCACTCCGTCCTCGCACACCTGCATCCTAGGGCCATTACTACCCGAACTGCTTCCCACACCACCTCTCACTCGAATGATCTCGTCCCTCGTCCGATCAGCTACCCAGTGATCCTGCTTCGCAAAGTAGAGCACCAGATTCAGTGGCGTCTTTTCTGAGCTTGAAGCCGACATGGACGAGGATACAGATGACGATGATACTATACCCCATATTTCGTCACTCCATTTATCATATGTTATGTCGCACATTTCGTCTGCGGACATGTGTCTGTGAGAGGCAGTTCATTCATTAGTAAGGAAAGACCATTTTTTTACTTTAATTCTCTGATTTCCCACGAACATTTGAGCGGGTATTTGTTGTCCCACACTTTTGATGTAAAATGCAACATCACCAAAATAGCCATTAGGACGAATAGAGGATCATGCAACCAGTCAGAAGTTCAATACATATGGGAATTATTCCATACGCGCAAATATGGAATCAGAGAAATGGTCTTTTGGAAGAAGGGAACGATAAACACGAAGCAAAAGGAGAGAGTCACGAACGGAAAGAAGCATATTTTAAAAGAGTGAAATACAGTGTATATTACTTACATCGCTTGCTCAACACCCCTTGCACTCTTCAGAAACGCCACTGTTGTATCAATTGCGTTTTCCGAAGTCGAAGCCAAAACTCTACCCACAATACTACGTAACCAGGATCCGGGCAGTATAAATATCAGGAATTTGACGAGTAGACTTGTAAGGAACGCCAGGTAAGGCACGTAGAGAAGTTTCTGCGAATTTGAATAGCCGTTAGAAGGAAGCTCGTACAGCATTCGTAGCAGAGAGGGGACCAGGGCAAAGATTGGATAATCAGAAAACTTATCATATCGCGAAGCAAGGGGGGTGAATTGGCGTAAGCCCAAAGACCGAGCGTATTTAAGGGGTTGAGGAGGGGGAAAGGAAACAACAAAAATTCAGCACAGAACTGAATGGAAAGGGAGCCAAAAACGAACAGTCAACTTCCTCCCAGACGAGCTCTGCGCAATATCAACTACGGTAGGAAAGAGGAGGATTCCGCCGACGATGTTCACACTAGCACCAATGCCGGGCCCCCCTGTATCGGCAGATGCTCCTTTCTGCTTGATGCACTCCCGATGCCGTCTGAGAATCTCCATAGCGATATAGGCACCGACTGAATGTCCGATCAATATCACCTTGATACCCCCAAAGTGCCGCCATCGTCCTTGATCATCGCTGAGGTCCTTTCCCCTCGTCTGCGCCCGTTTTCTCGCATGCCACGCATCCACGAAATTGTTTAGGTTCCGCTCCACATGCTCAATTTGTTCAGAGAGACTGTATAACTTGTCCGTCTTTGTTGTTGGATGATGATGTGCTTGCGGTTGCGATTGCGATTGCGATTGTGTTTCCATCCCTCCATTTGCTTTGATATTGGTGAGCGGCGGACTACAACAACTCACATGTTTCCCGTTTTCAACAATCTCGAAACCTCCCATGCTTTTCCCATGGATGATGTATTGGGGGGCTTTGCCAATGCGGCTACTGCTGGCCGTGCTGCTGTTGTTTTCGGCACTCCCGTCATCATAGTCACTATGCTCGGTACTGGATATGAGAGTTGAACTCAGCAGGGACAGGAACGTATGATAGTAAGCTATCAGCCCCGGATTTCCAGGGATGAAGTATAGAAGTATAGATTCGGGGTCGTCTGCTGTGCAACTCGTACCGGTGAATGTTAAAAAGCTGTTGGTGGTGATATGAGATGTGGCTAGCTGGTTCATCTCTTGTTTTCTGTTTGTGTCGATTCAACTAGTATGGATGATGCGAACAGTGTGAGTAGAGGTGTTGTGTCAGGCCACTGGGGCAAAAGAGCTCAATCACCACCAGCGCCATGCTGGTAGTAGACCAACATGTTGAACCCTAGTCCTACCTGGGATATATTAGTTGCCGCAATAGCCAACCGTAGCTAGCTTTATATTTTCGTTAGGACCACCCTAATATTTTAGTGCCCTGGTAACCTTTCTTCTGAGGTGGCGTGTCCTCAAATTTCCCCATATAAGCTTCTCATTCTTATTCCCTCTGTACTTACACAATTCCTACACTCATTATTATCATTCTATTGCTCTCAAGATGGTGCTGCTCTTGAGGTTTCTATTGCACCTCCAGAAGCCTCTGCTACATCTCCAAGTTGATCAATATGTGATCAATGTTGAGATATTCTTCTTCTGGACTCGATTGGATCTATTAAGATAATGGGATTTGAGTTAAATCTACAAGAATCTGAGTGACTCACAGAGAAGAAGTAACACTTGATTCAATCTATATAATAGATAAGATTCCGAGAAAAAGAGGATGGATGTTCTGAGAGACTTTTAATGAAACTATAGAAGACCTCTGTCCATTCTGGGAAAAGGATTGAGGTGTGATAAGCTAGCACTATGACCACTACGTTATCCATAGCAAAAGGCCAACGTAACCATTTGTTAAATGGCTGCGCTCATAGTGATATATATACCCGTGGGTGTGGTGGTGTGGCCCGGTCCACAGCGGCCATGCCACTTATCTTACCATCTATACGCTGCGGCTGGCGGTCGTAGCATAATGTGGGAACCAGAGAGGAATAATCAATAAGGTAGATATAATGATTGATTCTTGACTATTTGAGAAGCAGTGCTAATCTATTCTCTTCTCAATCTTCTAGACTTTCTATTACAAAAATAATAGTTCCTCTTATTCATGAACAAATGTAGATAAATTTTGGGTTCAAATTGATGCAAAATAAGACTTCACAGTATATAGCAGCAGAGACTTTTAAGCCTTCCAGGCACGGCAGCGGTTGCCTCTAAGAGACCGCACTATAGCCCCACCATGAATGGTCATATGTCGGTCCAGAAGTGAATGCGTAGTTTTGCAAACTGAGTCTTTTCAAGAGTCGCCATCTGGATCCTGTTTTCTTTCGTACTGTGTATATAGAGATCTCTCCGGCTTAGCACGTCCCCATGCCCTTCGGGAGGGAGGCCATCGAGGCGCGGGCGCTGCCCGCTTCCCCCGGGACGACGTTAAATCTATACATACATACATACATGCAGCAGAGACTTCTCAAGATCTTTAAGAATATAGAATTGTCTCTATAGATTGATTATTATATTCATCAGATCTAAATTTAATTGAAACTATATAAAATCTTATAAAGCAGTAGATCCTGTAGCTGTGATCACTCCGCTCACTCGAGTGATCCGAGTGATCCAGGTGATCCATTATGTCACGTGACCTATTGTTCCTATTGGTTAACCGGATCTTTCCTTATCCGATGTCTAGCTTGCATGCCCTCTACCATTTAGTCGTTCCTTGTCCAATGGCTCTCAGGGTTGTGCCGTAGGTTTGTAACAGAATTTCATAAGATGGCTTGATAGGGTAATTACAACGCGAATCCTTAATTAGAGCTTTTTTAAATACAATAATACTGACTAATACCAAAATTACCTTAACCGGTCAATAATATGCTGTATAATATACGCTAATTGAAACCACGCTAATTGGGGCAAACCTAACCACGAGGAGATAAGAGCTTACACGGGCCAACCGAACACGCCCTAAAAACTGAGTTCACCTGCTACATCAGCACAGAATTTCTCTCTCCCGTATTGATCACAGTGTATCTACTCTGTAGATGATGTTCTTGGGCTGACTGCTGTTTTGTGGGTCATTCAGAGTGAGGAGCATCTTTTAATCAATCATTACAGATATAAAGATAAAGAAGATCTGAATTAAAATCATGATCTTGAGCAGTTCTATAGATACAATTGATGATTTAAATAGATATCTGAGTGAAATTGCTGATTTCTTTAGTAGTTTTACCATCAAAAGACTTCAGAGTCACTATCACAGCACAGGTTGAGATAATTGCTTCTCATTAGCGGTATCTATGATATTTCAACTAGTATATCAGTGGCGTAGATAGTAGCTTGGCTGAACGAAACTTTTGAAACCGGGCGCAGAATTTATCTCAGCATGCTCAGCCTCTCTTTTCGATATTTTCGGATTAGCGCGACCAACTAAACTCCTTTAGACTTCTGCCAAGTCCTGCTAACTTCTGGACCAATAAGAGACTTCACACGTGCTCGCAACCTAATATCTCGTAGAGAGTCTGAGAAGAAACGGTTCCATCGTGTGTGGAAAATCAACACCGCCCATACAAAATATTCGATTGACTTCGAAATCATACATCTACCCTAAATATCTGCCTGATCATCACCAAACCGATATTTTTCAAATCCTCAGCCATTCTGCTATCATCTCTGCTATTTTACAACTCACTACCCCTTCTCATCATGTCACAATCGTTGACAAAAGACAGCGTGTCTTTTGAATCTCAAGACACCCAATGTCAGACGCGCTCCAGCCAATATCCTTCATCACTCGAAGATGAATCCTCTCTACAACCACTACAGTCTCCCAACAATGTAGATGATGAATATGACACATCAGACAGTGACTTAACAGAGCTTGAATCTATTGATACTCCTTCGGAATTCGAGATCACCGATACTGATACCGATACCCCGCGAGCTTGTTCACGATCAAACCGCCGTGGCCCACAGCACCTGCCTACAATGCCTTATAACCGGCAGAAAAGACGGTCAAAATTATCTCGCGTTGTCAGAACATTACAGCGAAACAGTTGGGGAATGGAGGCCTTTATAGAGGCTTGGATTCAGAGTCCCGATATCTTGACTCATCGACGATACAGTACTCCTACGAAGCGGCGAAATGCACTATATTCAGCACTTTCCAAAGCAGGGGTATTCAATGATAATCAACGTTATACTGTCTTGCTTAAACAGGAGCTGAAATGCCTTATCAATACTCCCTTCTTTGCAAAATTCAATCACGATTCTGATCTGGATACCATTGACTTAGGTTTCATGAACTCCTCGAAGCGAATATTCTGATCCACTTCAGACACTCGAGATGTGAAATGCTGAATGGTGTCATTGATGAAAGAGGTGTCAGTATTGTTGACATTCTGCCTGTTATTCTGACAGATCTGAAGAAGTATTGATCGGAAATATTGCACTGCTTGTTGAACCTTGACATGACTGTCAATAAAGACAATGGTCTTTAAAATGTGTTGAGGTATGATCTTTCCATCTGTATCAATGGCCTCGTTCAATAAAAAATATAACATATCATAGGATACAAGTTTACCGCGTGGAATCGGATGTACGCCGATAAAGATATCAGGACGGTTAATGGAAGTTCGAATAACCTGAGTCTGCCGTGGGTTTACACCAATAGAACGAAATCCAGCCTCTTGAAGAATGATATCTTCAGCTTTACTGCTGAGGGTTGCGGAACAGCCAAACCAGACAATATCCTCACGAAGAAGCAATCTCAGGTGCCCCAGCCTGGCAAACTGACTACGGAATTGACTCCACTGTGTGACAAGATGACACTCATCGATAGCTACAAGCCCAATCTTTTCTTGTAAAGTAGGGTCTTGAAGAACATGCTGAAATCGCTTGCAAAGAGCTTGCTCTGGACTGAGCAGTATATGTGTATACTCACCTTGTTGAATGCGTTTGAGTAAGTCTTCTTGCCCCTGGAGATTATCAGCACTGACCAGACAAGGATTGGCACCGGGAAACCGTGCTATATCTCTTGTTTGCTGATCACCAAGCTTGTTTAGAGGAACCAGTTGAATGGTTATCTTTCCTGTCAGAATTGTATAGGATTGAAGAATAAGGCTCTTTCCATAGCCAGTTCTGGCAATGAATAAAGTGTCGCTATATCCATATATCATGCGCCGAAGTATACGGACTTGTTCTATGCGTGGCTGAAGAGTACACTCAGGATCTGGACGCGGGCCTTGAAGTATTCGTTGAAGACAATACTGAATAACATCCTGTTGCTTGTCGATACTATCTGGTCCGGCATAGCTCATGACAAGTTGTGGCATATCTTCAATGTTCATTGAAAGTATTTGCTTTAATGATGGCTTTTGAAGCCGCTGTTGTAGCTGACTTGCGCGTTTTCTTCGATCCCCCTTGGCCATATTTGATGCAGTTGATGGGACGTTGTCCGACCCAGCTGTCAAAAAGAAGTGTTATGTGATTGGTTCAGAAGTTGTCGGAAGATCCCAGAAGTTGTCAGGAGTTCAGAGATGTTGTCAGAAGTTGATGTGCCGCGTGAGGTTGCCAAGAGTTCAGAAGTTGTCAGAAGTTGCCAGAAGTTGCCGGAAGTCGCTGGAAAATACACTCGGTGCTTTGACTAGAGTCTCTGATGGCTGGATAGATGTTTTGATGGCAAGATCAAGGCGTTGGATGACTAGACATGATCATGGTTGAAAAATTAGCAAATCGTTCCCGTGTTCAAAAATCATAGTAGCAGTTTTCGACGCGACACTTCATACTCAGAATATATGTATTTTCAGATAAAAATTACATCAATCGACAGGAAATTGAAAAATTAACCCTCCAAGGTGGTAGAGAAATGATCTATGAGTGATGTTGCACAGTGATTCTATCTCAAACATTATGGTAGGAGCAAATCGTTCCCGTGTTGCTAACAACCAGGAACCGTTTTTTCTCAGACGCTCCGCGAAGAGTTTGCTGGGGATGTCCCATTTAGGTTTAGTGTAAGCCCCGTGACAGTTGATTGGCTCAGATGTTAGCAGGACTTGGCAGAAAGTAGCAGTAGTTCGGATTGGGTTAGCTCGGAGTGGAGTGGCTGAGTTTACTGAGATAACGCAGAATTGCTTAAATAGATGTGGTCACGTGGCATTCTAGCGAGCAATACTAGGGATGCCAACAGAATGATATTTTAAGTTTTGTTTACAACAGCTTTATGAATTTTCAATTATATAATTAAACTGAAGTTTTAAACTAAATAGATTGTATATGTAGACTAGTCACTGAGACCACGAATTTCAAATCCAGTCTCTTTTGGTTTGATCTTATTCAGTTTTTGATGTTTTACACTTTCGAGAGCTGGCCGCTTCGCGAAACAGCCGTGGCTGATAGATGATATCCTAGAGTCAAAGACGAGGAAGAGAGGTCGGGGAGAGCTGCGCTGATACGTACTTTGTCAAAATGGAGAGGCTAGCCGCTACCCTCCTTCTTGGAAACCTAAAGATAAGCGAATGCGAAGCGTTGCTGAAGGGGTTTCGCAGCAGGAAATTAGACAGCCGCAGACCACTTAAGCGACGCAAGAGGCCGCTCTTGAAGATCCGCCCCGGGAGGGTGCGGTTTGAGGTTTGGCCGATCATGTTACATTTCATGCCCGTTACGTTACGATCCTAATTAAATGGTGCTGGATACCCACGGGGTTCGGATATCCAATTCCCTGTTTCACTTAACGTGAGGAATGCATTCGAAAGGAAGTTAGCCAGATGAATCCCAGTGGACCGTACTTACCCTCTGAATCAAAGTAGGTCGAGAAGAGTGGACTCTGACAGATTACTTCTAGAGGCGGAAGGCCCAGATATGTATGTATTGTACCAAAGCCAATGGAAGTACGTATTGACCGTGGGGACGACCTATCAGATCAAAAAAGGCTTCTGCCATCCAAAAGTTCGAGTGTCTATGGAGTACTTGTCAAAAACATTTTGTGGAACCTTTCCCTCCTCGGCGTAGCGTCCTAGTAGAAATGCTCAAGGCAGACATCCAAGCGGACACTCGGCTATTTCATCTTCTATTACGAGCGCTGGGTCATAAATAGCATCCACCATCTCTTGGATGCCATCAAGCCAAAAGATGCTTCGAATAGAGCCAATCATCTGTGCACCGCCTAAATGGTAAATGTCAGCATATGTTTAAGTCGCAATGGATAGCTTGAGGCACTAGGCATAGACTTACGAGTACATTCTAAATAATCTTTAAGTTCCTCCGGGACATCGCCAAGATACCCATCCTCACTCGTCCAAACAGCATCGAATTGCGTCAAATCTAACTCCTCGGGAAGTCGTACTTTGAAGGGATAGTAGTGGTTGTCCTCTTCCTCTGATTCCTCCGCTTCCTTCTCCTCTTCATCATCCTCCTCCTTATTCCCTTCGCTGTCTGCTTCATGTTTTGTATCCCCAAGCGATTCACTGGCAATTGGAGGAAATGCTGCCGGCTCATCAGAGGGACTTGCAGACGAGCTATGGCTAACAGAAGAGGAAATTCGTTCCATAGCAGTATTTCCCATCATTGTAGTCGACGTCGATCTTGTATGTATGGTAGTATGTACGGGAGGTCTGAAAGTGCTGGTAACTGAGGAAGAACATTTTCCTCGTTCAGTTGTTCTTCTGCTAACCGCAGGTTTGCCTCCTCAATGAGCCCTTGAAGCACACAGGCTTCCTCAATAATGCCTCTGGTCAGGTCTCGGAGCTGTCTCACTTCGGAAGCACTTTCCTTTGACCCCGTTCTAGGTGTTTTCATACGCTTCACTGCACCGTTGAAATCAGAAGAAACCACACAGCTCTCTAAAAACCCTGGCGTAACATCGTTTTGACTCGCAAACATTTTCCACATAATCCGAACACTGTTCAGCTGTTCAGTCAAGGGTTGGTAGTCGCTATATTGAGTCGCATTGATTTGAGCAAAGATAGCAATAGACCTTCTCAACGGGTCGCAATATCGATAAACAACGCTTTTCAGAGCTGCTCTCACGTGGACAAACCAATGTATCGCCTCAGCGGCGTCATTCCAAGCTGGAAATTTTGGAGTTACACTCTCTAGTTCAGGCATAGGCCGTGACGGACTCGTGCCGGAAGAGGCCGTAGCCGGTAAAACCAATCTACCACATGCCAGGGCCGTTTCCTCAACTGGATTTGATCCAGGATCTGGAAGGGAGGGAGGATTTGACATGAAGCCGGTTGTGAAAACCGAACGGGTCTGGAAATAGCAAAGAACGGAGGCAATAGATGTGCTTCAAAATAGAGAGCTGTAGTGGCGGGGCGCTAGGTTCAAAATCACACAAGCTGATATAACAACAGATGCCGGTGTTGATGGGAAGAGAACCAGAGATGGGAAATGGTGGAGGGTGGAAGGGAATATCAGGAACGAAGGCTGTCGATGTGTTGGCTATTCACTGGTCTCAAAGAGGAAAGTCCTCGATCATCGTCACTGGGGATTTGTATACTGCCACATTTTGCTGGTTGCATGTTCGTACAGCAGTGTGAGGGGCTAGCTGGTTTGTAATAATTACCTAGATAGCATTTAGAAAAAGGTTTCTGGTAGGGATCCATGTGGTATTCGAGCTCAGGTTTGTGTTCTGAAATCAAAGTTCCTCTCGGATAATATATCGGAATAACGATCTGTAGGAGGCTACTCAAAATGAGTCTATCTGTATAGTTTCTTAAGGCGACTACAGAATAGGTCCATCGGCGATCTAGCAAGGACAACGCCAATCAGCCCGATAAGGCCTGACGGCTACCTTGGAAATAATAGCCTAGAATTGTACTAAATATATTGTAGTCATCTGCCACGCCATTGTATCCTCTCTGAGAATATCCATTCACCAGAAAATACAAGCCATCCAGTAGAAGAACAGCAGTCAACAACATTACCTCCTGCAATAGGGTTCATCACGTGCGGTGGGCCTGCCTTATTACGGACTGGCTCCCGAACAACTGCATATGTACCGTAGTCCGTACTGTACTCCGTAGATAGCAGTCAATTCAACCACTCAGACGTCCGACACAAATGACTTTTTCCCTTACACCCACTGCACCATGGCATCCCAGAATCGTCCCCAGTCGTTTTATGAAGGCTCTTTCCGATTATCTTCCGGCTCTCAAGTTCAACCCCAGCCTCACCATCGTCATCAAGCATCGTTAGAGGATATCATCAACTGCTCCCAACTTGGTCGCTTAACTACAGATGAGCGCTCTCGCGCCCGAGGGGCCTTAAACGATATTATCGACCACGTTGCCAATCACGTTGGCTCCAAGGGCGGATACAGTCGTCATTTGCTCGTCCGTCATACCTACGAATATTCGCGCTCTGAGATGTCCAAGGATACATTCCTGCGGGTTTTCTTCAATATTATGGGATTAGATATCAGCAGTAGTGAAGATATCAACACTGATGATAGTCAGATCCGTCAAAAATTCATTGACTTTGCAGACATGCTCCTCGAGCAGTTCTTCGTCCCATGTTTGTGCTATGCCCACACCCTATGATTTCCAAATTTACTAACCTTCATCAGTGAAAGCAAATGGAAAAATTACACCACAGCCCTCTCCTGCACAGCTTTCAGCCATGCAAAGCGTACGTTCACCGCATGAAATCAGTGGCACCCTTGACCGAGTTTCATACCTTCGAGCTCTTTGCTTAGCTCGTGACAAACATCGTTGTGTGATCTCCCGAGTTTTTGACTCGCAAGAAGAGATAAAGCGAACCAATCAGCACGGTGCTGATGCTCGAGATGATGAGGGGAATCTGCTTAGCAACGAGGTTACACTCGCTGTCCTGCAAGTGGCTCACATACTTCCCCACTCTCTTACAAAAATGAGCGAGAATTTACAGCTGGTAAGTTTATCTCTTCCAAATAGATTTTTCACCATAGCTAAATGACAGACAGAATGATGCCATAAGGACCACCATTGGCATCCTCAACATGTTTGATTGCGACGTGGCTCATCTCATCGAGGGTAGTCAGATCGACAGCCCACGCAATGCCATCAGTCTGACTCCTACTTTCCATGGACTCTTTGGCGACTTTCGGGTATACTTTGATGCCATCGCCGGCGAGGAGCATACCTACCGCATAGGCAGTTTCCTCCATCCAGTTTCGGCAGCGCGTCGGGGACTACCTATTACTCGCAAACTCTTTCTCAGCGAAGGCAGGGTGATAGATGCTCCCTCCCCCCGGCTACTTGCTCTACACCGGGCCATTGCGTATATCCTCCACCTGTCAGGGGCGGGCGAATACATTGATAAACTACTCCAGGATTTCGAGGAAATGGGTGTGCAAGCGGATGGATCCACGGACCTGGCGCGTATTGTGAACCTTAGACTTGGGGGCTGGCTGGATCGTGCTGTTCAAGTGAATTAATGACAGGTTATCAGGATGGGGGTTGGAGTTGTTTTATATAAATCGTGGCATTTGTGGGCGCTCGGGGATTGTTCTTTATGTGTATTCTGGCTTCGCTTTCCCCCTTCCCCCCTATTCCCTCTTTTCTCTCTCCCAATGTTTTATTATTCAATTGCTCCCTTTAATGATTCTTCCTGTCCACATCTTTGCTGTAATAACAAACCTTGTACGAAAAAGTTCAAAGTGGAAAATGCATAGATAGACACATCACATACATACACATGTGGTGGAACGGAATAAGAAGGCCAATTTTAACAAGTGGAGTAATATAACTCCACAAAACGACTCATGCAAATCGCCCTCACCGTTTCATTTCATTTCATCTTCACCTGTCATAAAGAGAAAACGGGAGGGGGAAGAAAGATTATATATAGAACAGGTGCGGCCAGGAGAAGGAGTGAGTCAGGGACAAAAAGAAAAAAAAAATATCAGAGTATAACTTGATGAATTAAAAATAGAAACAGAAAACAGGTAGAGAAGAAGAACCTTTTAACACCCACCAAACTAAGACCAAAAACCAATGCCTGTGGCACAAGCAAAAAGATCCCAAGTTTTCAAAACAAGAGGGATAAAAAGCGCAGCGCACTGGCACAGTTCAATTCAATTCCATGAAACGCATCGCATCGCATCGCAACGCGGCGGTGAAAAAAAAAAAAAAAAAGAAAAGAAAAAAAAGAAAAAAAAAGAAAAAAAAGAAAAAAAAAAAAAAAAAAGGCAGAGAAGAGACCAGAAGTGTGAATCCGAGTTTCTATTTAGTATCGACCCTGGCTTCGGGGCCTCCATGATCTCCACCACCATCATCGCTCTCATCTCCAGCAGTGATGGATGTGGATGCGGTGGGCCTGCCCGCTTTCGGAGTTCCGGGTCCGGTCCCGGCTCCACCCTCGGGTCCCGTTCCCGTTCCCACAGTTCTTTTCTTGGCCCCAGCCGGACCAGCTTTCAATGTCGACAAGTTCAAATTAATCGAAATCTTCTTCCCGACCGCGCCAACACCAGCACCAGCACCAGCACCAGCAGTCCCTGTTCCTGTTCCTGTCGTTGTTGTTGTTGTCGTCGTCACGGTCGTTGCCGCCGCTGCAGATTTCATTGACCCTGTCCCATCATCATAATTGCCACTCTCACGCTCGCGTTCATCATTCTTCCCCACGCCAGAGAAACTCTTCTTCTTTCTCAATGAACTAATACCAATTCCGATGCTTCCCGATGAGCCGATGCTGCTAAGGCTTGAGCTCCGCCGTTTCGTGCCCGAGGATAACTTGACGAGTTCATCGTCGTCATCGTCTTCTTCGCGCCGGCGTTTTTCTGTGTAGCGGTAAGGGGGGAAACGTGGGCTGAGGGTGGCGGAACGGTCTGGTGACGTCGTTGAGGTTGGTTCGGACTGTGTTTGTGTTTGCTGTCGCAGTTGTTCCGATTGCTCAATGGAGCTGGCTAGCGAGTCTGACGGTTGGAGTTCTGTATGTTGCGGTTGCTGACTTTGGACATTTATATCCATTACGTCCTCCTCGTCGTCATCGTCCGGGTAATCGACCAAGGGTTTGACAATTGGCGACGCAGATCCGTTAACCGCGATAGCTGTCGGCGGGCTCACGTTCGCATTCGCATTCGCATTCGCCGCCGTGGCATCCATCCGCTGCGGTTTGTCCTGTTGGTAATCGACAATGAGTACCGATGTCCCATCACGATAACAACGCGTCTGACTGAACTTGACGCTCATGTCATGTTCTTCCCCAACTCCCCCCCATTCGTCATGTTTAAGTTCACGAGACGAGAAGCATACCTCATCTTCCTCATCATCCGAGGTATCGAAGTACTCCTCCTCCGCGGCATCCATCTCCCTAACACCATGCCACCGCTGACCACCATTGATGAGCATTCGCGGGGTCCCCACCGATTCGTCCTGGCTGAACAACGTCACATCCGGCGCGACTCCGTACCCCTGTAGTTGATCATAGCGTAATATCAGATTCTGGAATGTGTCAACATACGTGATGTTCTTGAGAATATCTCTATAATTCTCGACAACGTGGACGATTATAGTTTTGATATTTTCGCGCTTCACGAACTCGAAGAGATCCAGACATGCGGAGTTTAGCAGGCTGTCGCGTGGCATGGTTTCATAGACGATGTTTAGGATTAATTCGAATATGTTGTTGTGGGTCATCTGGGCAACGTAAAAGGTATCATGTAAACTTATCAAAGTGCGAAAAAATTTCAAAGCGGCTAGTTTGGGCGAACACAGAGTCAGTAAAAAGTTCATCTGAACCAATCCAAGTCCCTGATAACGATCTTCCACGCCCAAGCTCACGAGGGAGAAATGGGGAAATGGATGGCTTACTTAATTTCAAATGTTTTTGCGGTACTGCTAACAATTGCGCCACCCTGGATGTAAGCGATTCCCCATGCATAAATCCGCGACACCGTAAATAATGCTGCCGAACAAAAAATGTGAGAATGTCAACAAGATGCGAATATAACGAGACTTCTTGGAACGTTAGGTCATTTACTAAAATCGCACAAAATTTCAAGAGTTAGTATGTATCCCCATAAGCATTAACATAGTGTAAAACAAAATTCCTTTTTCCCTCTTCTTTTTTAAAAGTTTCCCTGTTTTCTTTGAGAGAAAGCTTACTCGATTGCCTAGGCTCCATCTTCTTCAACGGCAAAAAGAGCCTTTTCGCAGATTCATCGAAGTGGTTCTGCACGAAGGTATCGGGAATTGGATTCTGTGAGCGCAGTTTTGTCAGGAAATCTGCTCCAGCCCTACTCATCGGATCCTGGATGGGCACTTGTGGATCCAAAAGAACTTTAATCGCATCCGCCAGCTGGTTTTTAACACCCAAGTCCGTCTCCGCATGCAGCAAATCTATAAGTGTATCTGTTAATGGCACTTTATGCTCATTCACAGCTTTCAGCATGTATCCGCGAATCATGAGCGGGTCGTGGTCCAGTAGGGTAACCAAGATGTCAATGCCAGTGGTTCGCAGGGCGGGGTTGGGGTGTTTCACAGCAAAGGCGATGACTGAGAAGAGGCCATGGCCTATGAAGTTTGCGAAGAGGTTGGCGCGGGCCGGGGCTTGGAGGTTTTTTGCAATGGCTGCGCATTGGTGAAGGAACTGCACAGCATCTTCTTTTCTCTTGTTGTCTGTGTTTTTCGGGTTGAATATAGAGAAAAGTTCGTTGAGGAAAGGCGTGTTGGTTTGGAGGTGCTGGACGATATCGACTTGGTTGAAGAATATTAGGGAGTTTAGCACGGAAAAGGTGGGATCATCGAGAATTCGCGCGAGAACAACATCCTTTAGATACTGTAGCCTCCAGGTGTGTCTGATTTTGCGGAGAATTATAGGGTCCTTGATTGGAACAACCTCCTTGTATCGGCTGCGATCGTTAAGGTATTGACGATGATTTGCTTTATGGGTTGGGAAATCGGGGTCATCTAGAGAGTAACGGACAATGAGTTTCTTGCGTCAAACATATGGTTAAGAAGAAGGAAATTGATATAAAGCCACATACATTCAAGGGCGCCAACGACTCCACTGATAACATGATCGCTCACGACGAGTTCTATTAGGGTATTATCGTTTGAGCAGGATGATGGATTTCATAATATTACATAATCGATGTAGATCCGGAAGACTTTCCAAGTCCTCAGCGTCGCTGACCAGCGGTAGAAGTTTAAGGAGATATTCTTCTCGGACTAAAAATTTGGTGAGCGAATCTCGTCCAGGACCGATGCTGGCTTGTCGTATTCGTTGCTCAATCTCAGCCAGGTTACCAAGCTCCGGGGCAGGCAGGATTATGGGATTGGAGAAGCTGGAATCGAGAGCATCATCGGAGAGGGAATCATCTAGGGAAAAGTCAATATATTTCTCCCCGGAGGTGGAGACGTTGACTGAGGAATAGCGCGCGGGGAAAGGGACAAGAGTGGTCGTAACTAACCTGGTCCAGTGAAAGCAAGCATTTGGCGCTGAACGTTGCTCACGAATTCCCTTGAAAACCGTAGTATCGATTAGCAATTATATCAACCCATTGAATTCGTAAGACTAGAAAACACGGATTATGACGAACCAGATAACAGCACATCCCTCGGCTTCCTGAAAACTCAATGCCATGTCCGTACCACCAGGCTCAGTCCACACGATCAACGTTTCTGTCCTCAAAAGTATTAGCGCTTGCCCACATGCGATCAAGCGCAGGAAATCGCTGCCAGACCTTGTTGCTTCTGATATCCATCATCTCTACGAATCCTGGACTCCAGTAGCATACGATCTGGCTCATCCTCCGACTCCACGTAGATTCTCGGTTCATCCTAAACAAGTAGTGAAAGGTCATCATTAGCACGAATTTGTGTTTTGCGCGTATTTCCGCACGTAGTCCCGATAACATAACCGCGTGTCTCACCAACGTTGTTAATGCGATCACAATGAGATGAGTAGCTAGCACAAAAGGGTGAGAGGGTGCGCTTACATCGATGACCTGGGCAGAGCACAGGCCTGTGCCTCTATCAAACCAGTCATTATCTCTCAATTCATAGACCTTGACCCGCTTTCGATCGTTTGACGGTGGTGCCACCACTGCCATTATCTGGGAGAAGAAGGGCGTCTCGTCACTCCGGTGCCAACCCTAGTCGAGTGTACCGGCCCGGCGTGATGAGAGCCGAAAACTAGGCACAGGCAATCTCGGAAAAAAGGTGAGGATTCAAAAAAATAATATAAAATAAAATTACAAGGACGAGGACGAGGACGAGGAATAGGAACAGGAACAGGAACAAGAAGAAGAACGAAATGGAGGCAAGAGAGAAGAGAGACGAGGAAAACACTCTTTCGAGCGTTTTCGCAAAGGAGACAGCGGGATTTTGCGACTGATGTGTCGTTTAGGAAAGCGATGGTGCGAGTCCGGTGAAATGCGATCTAGGCACAAGGGAGCTGTGTGCTTGGAGGGTGCCTCGGCAGGGACAAGTGTTGGTCCACGGGTACGCAGTGTGTGGGCGCAAAAAAAAAAAAAAAAAAAGGATGGGAGCGCCGAGAAACGCGGCCAGGGCAGTGAGCTGGAAAAGGGACGACGGAGGGGCTACGATGGAACTTGGAAGAGAAGAGCGATAGAAGTTGCAGAGACAGGAATGCCGAAATGATCGGGTGGGTCAAGGCAGTGGGCAACGGGGTGGTGGCCGGGAGATGCTGATGATGGACGTGGGAAGGATGAGGCGGACGCGGGATGGGGGTGCTAGGGTGGTTGGTGGAGCCAGGCCTGGAGACAAGGAACAGAGGAGAGTCACGACCAGGGACAACGGGGCCAAGATCCTAGATAGATATCCTGAAGCGAAAGAGTGGCAGGAGACAGAGCCAGGAGACAGGAGACGCAGCGGCGCGGTGGTGATGGAAGACGTGGAGGATGGACGCAGAGGATGTCCTGGTCCTGTGGTGTCCCGGTGGTGAAGCTGCTGCTGGTTTGGAGAACGGGAGGGCCAGCGAGAGGAGCCGCGTGGATGCTTTGGGTTAGGCTGGTTCTGCCAGTGCCTGAGGAGCCCATGACGTGCATCCACCATCCACCGTCCATCTGGACACTGCTGCTCGAGGTACACGGGATGCGAGTCAATAAATATCCTTATAGACCTCCGTTTAACCTGGCAATATCTACTAGTATCTATGCTAATTCCCTCTATATTCCCGTGCATTCCTCTGAAAAGGGTAAGCGGGAATTGCCCCATCCCGAAGCTCCAACCCAACGGAAATAATCCAATTCTGTTTCAACTCCAGCGCCAGCCCGTGTCTGCCGTGGAAGCACAAAACGAAGCCTTGGCAAATGCTCATGCAATGCTCAAGCCAGCATGGCGTTTATTGTGGGTTTGTTCATGCTATGGCCTGTCGACTGTCCCGCCCCTTTGCAATCGGGTTGGGCTGGGTCGATCATTCCCCAGGTCGCGCATTTTTGAACACTGGCCATTTAAAACGAATGGCATGCGACAACCAAACTGCGGTGCAAAGATGCTGTCGCTGCGTACTATGAAGATGATTGACCTATGCTCCTTGCGCAACTGGGCTGGCTATAAACTAACTAGTATATCCATATTTCCCCAGCCATAGAATCCTAGCCGTCGATTGGGTACGTGAAACTCTGCGACATTCTCGAGGATCTCGGCATCTCGCCACCCGCCCTATCTAGACTTAATCATGGGCACAAATTGAGACGGGAGAATGTGATACCCTTACCGGTCATCCATCCATCAC